ATTATTTTAATTAAAGTTAATTAATTTCATTAATCATAATAAATTAAACTAATTAACCTACTTAATTACTAGTCATTCTTATATATATAATTTTTTTTGGCTTAATTTAAGTTTTAATCTATTAACTATCACCTTGATTTCATTTTAGTCTAGAAATTATGTTTTATTTCTAAGTGGTCTATTAACTTTCAGATTCATTTTAATTTCATCTACTTGGTCAAAGATATCAGAAAACTTCTTATTTTGTTAGAGAACCATTAGTCCTCTGACTATATTTTTTTGATCTTTTAGTCCTTAAATTTATATTTGTTATAAAAATAACTTTTTCACTTAAAATTATTATTTATAAGCTCTGATACTAGATTTTTATATGGGTTTTCCTATTTCTTTAATTTGGTATCAGAGCCTGAAAGTTAATAGACCACTTAGAAATAACAATTTTAAGTATAAAAATCTGGTATCAGAGCCTAAAAATAATAATTTTAAGTATACAAGCTATTTTTATAATAAATATAAATTTGAGGACTAAAAGGTAAAAAATATATAGTTAGAGGACTAACTGTTCTCTAACAGAATAAAAAGTTTTCCGTTATCTTTGACCAAGTAGACGAAATTGAAATGAATCTGAAAGTTAATAGACCACTTACAAATAAAACATAGTTTCTAGACTAAAATGAAATCAAGGTGATAGTTAATCGACTAAAAATTGAATTAAGCCATTTTTTTTTTGTTCATTTTAGCTTCTTCTTTTTTTGCCCTTCTTTTTTTTTACTGGATTGGGTCGGGTTGACCCAATCTAGAAACACAACCCATCATTCGAAGTAGACAAAAACAAATCAAACATAAAAAAAAGGATAAAATTAGGGTTCATCATTTTCAAAAGAAAAAACACGTTCATCATAAAAAAAATCGCATTCATCAAAAGAAAAAAAGCACATTCATCAAGCAAAATAAACTGTACAATTTTTTTGATTTTTTTATTCAATTTTCCAATGACAAATATACAAGCTTAACATTAGATCTAAAAAAGAAAAGAAGACACCCACAGAAAAATAAAAACAAGCATGGTGGATCTTTAACGTACTGTTCGGATAGAAAATAGTAAAGGGAAGGGAAGGGAGGGGGACGGAGGAAAATAGAAGGAAAAGGAGGGGAAAGAAAGGAAAGGGAAGGGAAGAAAATGG